GCACACCTACCAAAGGCACTTAGGAGGTTGTGCAGGTAGGTAAAAGCTCAGCATCCATAATGCTGAGCAAAATCTAGAGCAGATGAGTTACCAGGAGCACGAGCAGTGGTGCAACAGGACTGGTATTATGCATGTTGTTACAAGCTGCAAGCTAAGGGCACACATCCAGCCATTAGCCACTCTTCCTTCATTTTCCTCATTGAGCTCCAGAGCTAGCTCCAAAACTGCTACATTTCCCTGAAGTCACTGTAGTTATGGCAAGGTCAGTGATAAATTTTTTCAAAGAGCAAAGGAACATCTTTATTAATGTTGGGAAATAATTTGCAGACTAAAGATACTGGACTGCTTCTGGTCTCGCTTGGCATATTCGCCCTGCAGGGAGTGGTGCAACTATAATCTGTATGTATCTACCCATGCCATCTTCAGTGCAAATAAAATTTAACACGGCTAAATTTGGGCTATCAGGTCTACCCTTTTATTGGCTTGAAGCTGCCAAAAATTTGCATGAGCCGCGGTCATACATTTGCGCCAAAAGGTGGACATACCTCTGCATGTCAGGGAATTGGAAATAACTCAGTCCAAAACCTGAATTATTGTATCATTAACACTGACGTCAGAATCAGCCTGATTCTGAGTCAGAATCAGTCACTTTGATCTCTAAAGCTAATGAAACTAATGAATCAGAGTCAGAACATCTATAAATACCACAAAAAGGCAAAAAAGCTCCTTCAGCCTAAACACAATTATTGAACACAAAGTACAGAAAAAATTACTGATACTGCAAAACCGCCTTGAGATGAGTATAGATGTGTGTGCATCTATCTAAATGTAAAGGGCGGCTAAGGAATAAGATTTTTTTTTCCAGGAATTGTTGATGACATGCCTCTTCAATTTGTCAGCCAGAGCTGAAGGAAATACTGAAAATACAGTGAAATAAGGACCAATTGCATTTTACTTTAAAGAAAAGAACAAGTAGGAAAATCAGAAAAGTTTTAGAAACAGAAACCTGAAAACCTCAGCTTTTATAAAATTTCCTTTAAAAATAGCCATGGTTACAACCATGCTGGGCCACAAAAATCTTATATTACCAAAATGATGTCAAGCGCCATCATGAGAAAAAGTATTTGTTAATATTTGCCTCTCATTCCCTCTCAACAATGCTAAATTCATTGACATAAAAAAATGGTTCCACGTGTGAAATTCAGAATTTATTTTATTTACTATTTCTTAGATAGTCAGGAATAATCCTTAACTCTAGATTATTTTTTCCCCCCAAAGAACTGGGGAGCAGATCCATAAGATTTCATAGCGTTATTTTTTTCAGTCTTTTCTCTGAAGTTTCTGAGTGAATATCTTGCATGCACAGAGCAGATAAGATTGAGAAAAATCATTAGTTTGATTTAATACGGAAAACTGAAGTTTCCAAGGCTTCAGGATATTTGTCTTCTAATTTCCTACCCATAAAAAAAGAATTTTTAAAGGTACAATATGTTCAATGTCTTTGTTTTGAGGTAAGATGCAACAATACCAACATTAATTTGCAAATTTAGAAAATGTACTTTCCACTGTGTTTCTGTCTACACCATATTTTAATAGCTTTTCTGATAAAATAACATATTTAAGGCTGTCTAAAGCCCACTATTGATTTTAGTTTGTACTGACTTATTATGCTGACTTAAAGTATGCAGGTTTAGTTTCTTGCAGTAGAAAGAAGGCAATTGAATTTCAGTATGGAAAGGACTTGCAACTGGAAATATAAAAAAAAAATGAGTTTTTTTTTTTGTCTCCTACAAAAATGTTAAAAAATGAAATAGGATGAAGCGAAAGACTGTCCAGCAATGACTTAGGCCAATCTGACGGTGTCTGAAACTTGGTACCCACTAATGGCTGCCTTATGGCCTACATTGAATGAATTTGACCAGTTTTCAGAGGAAAAGTACCCACGTCACAAACCCTGTACTATAATTAGCAATCTTGATGGCAGTCCTAGCAAAAAGGACAAGGACTGAATGAGCCATGGAGAATGAACTATCCTCTCACACATAAAGGTGGCTTTTTCAGGTCAGGGATTAAGCATACTACTGAAATAGTCTGAGAAAATATGTACTCCTGCTTTACGTTCTGAAGCTGCCAGTCTTACACATTTCTAAAGCAACAAATTCATTAAATTTTTTTTTCCCTTTTTCTCGATGTATCTTTTGAATTGACAAGCCAGATAATGTGATTAAGGTCAAGATAAAAAGAATTATAATGATAACAGAACAAAAAGATCAAATAAGAAAACAGAGACTGAAAGAGCATCCTTTCTTGAAATACTTATCATGTACCTCCAAATATCTCCTTGAATTTAGAAAACAAGGGTAGAAAATGTCCCAAGAACAGTTATTGTAGCCAGAGCTGTATTTCCCCTACAAAGTGTTTTAATTTATGAAGAATAGTCTAATAAATGTTGATATTTCTTTTCTTACAATTAGTAAGTTTTCTCAACAATCTGCAACAAAATCCTGCTTTTACCAGTTATATATCATGAAAAATTACTCAAATTCTACGATTCAATGATTCACTGATTACATATAGCTTTGAGTAAGAGATTTTGTTTGGGTATTTTTCTATGACATTAGCTAAGGAAGTTCTTTAACACGTTAACAACAGAAATCAGGATTTTCCTTCATAGCTTGTTCTTTGTCTGTGTTTCCTCTGTTTTGTATTAAGAGCAAAATGACAGATTTTAATTTAGCAACAGAGACAATGTGTACACATATGATCAGAACTCCTCTGGAGAGTATAGCAACTTTCCCTGCTTCCACTTCCTCATATTTGTCGTTATATTCTCATTAAGTTGCTCTTATTTCTCATCTTACTGTCACTTACTGTTTCTGCAATGTATTCTTCAAATGATCCTCTTCAAACTTGCACATTTCTGACAGTTTCACAATGCTGTATCTTCTCTTCCTCTTCTCCCTCTAAATCTTATTTCTGAGCTATCTTATCCACTAGAGTAAGTCCAACTATCCTATTTCGATAACCCATCCAAACACTGCTCTACTGCA